CTAAAAGAATTTCAATTTGAGGGTAGGCTGGTAGAGATCCTGGTGAGTAGTAAAATCGAATCGGGTATACGTGCGTTCTATGCTTGGTATTGCTGGTGCACAAAAGTATAGCTAATAAAAAGGAAACAAGAGGGAATCCTCAATAGCCGCGGCACTTGAAATTCTTTTAGGCAGGATTAGAGTAAATTAATCTATGAGATCTTGAAAGGAAAATAAAAGTATCATAGATTAAATGCCGTGGCTATTGGGGATTTCCTCTCGTTTAAATCTCTGCTGGGCTTATGACGCTAGCCATAGGCAGAAGATATAATTAACAGCTGAAACTCAATCTAAGAAACGTGAAAGACCACTGCCCTACAGGGAACCAATATCATTCTTAGTTAAAACAATAGCTCAAAAATATGTATTATTTCATATTGAATTATTACAAACTCAAGGTGTAAAAGATGATAGATGTAAAAGTGCTCAGGAAAATAGCTCTTGCAATTTATTTTCCATTGGACTTTTGAAAAAGCTAACGATAAACCGGACATTTTTGAATATAAGAACATATCAAAGAGAAGCAGCTGTTAAAACCTGTTTATATGAACCCCCAACAGCTTTTCAAGCATATTTTTCTAAACTATTTATGCGCCAATTTATATGTGAGTCCATGGCTTTGTTGGTTATAGGGATTCCAATAACAATGAGTTCCATCAAAAAATTAAAAACAAAAATGCCTTCATTATTGTAATTAATCTCATTAATTATCGCCGAGTAATTCAAATAGAAACTGCATAATTTCACTCATCTTTTTTGATACCTCTTTACACCAAGCATGCACAAAGTTACTCGAGGGCTAACTGCACTAACCGTCCCTAATTTAGGAGTGATAAGGAGGACGGCTAGTCAGTATTACTCACTGCCAACTCTTGAGCTATTCTTGTACCAACGGATAATGGGATTGACCGTCACATTATAACGCCCCCACGGCTAAAAGGGCGAGCATGTTCGGTTACAGGGATTCGAACTCGTAACTCTTAGATTTCGAGTCGAACGCCCTAATCATCAAGCCATACCAAGTCCCCTGAGCGTTGTAATAGGAAAAAATAAAAAAATATTCAATATATGCAGTATGTAAACCCAGCGAGAGTGAACTGTATAAAAACACGTCGATGATTTGGAGGTTAAAATACAAATAAAATCAATAAACATAACTACTAAAATTATCATGGTTAACTTCCAAATAAAGTACTCGTAAACAACAAAACGAACTCTTATAATTACATAAATTAATGAAGCGTGTAATAAAGATTAATCTGTGTTTCTTTGTTATTGCTGCGTACGTGATTTTTAATCAACATCACGATTCATAATCTAAAGCAACTAGGTTATCATATTTATGGTATCAGTCGCCAAGTTCGATACTAAAGTATTTTTAGTTTGCATTTAAGCTGTTTCAGTTACTGGCCTGCTATTTTGCGTTATAGTTCACTGAGAGGTACCAGCCAACATCGATTCAGGAATAGCCTTCTTATTCAGTCACTAAACAATAGGAACACGATTTTTATTCCCTCACCAGCTTATCTGTTTGTTTTTAAGAATTTTTTGTGCAAGCTACACAAGAGCTATCTGAGTACAGCCGTCCCTAATTTTGAAGTAACAGACTAGAGCCAAGGCAGCTAGTCAACAGCATGCATCCCCTTGCCAACTTGGCCTACACATGTCTGACGGAATAGTAGGATTTGGCCGTCACTAACGGCGCACACACACACGACTACAAAGTGTGAAGCGCGTTTTCGCGACAAAGGGGACGCGGACTTTGAACCCTTGGATCCATAGTCCAGCACGCTAATGACTAATCTATCCCTCTCACTCCCGGCCTTCACCACACCAATAACTGGTAAAAAGGAATAAGTTATTGCCTAGAGCTCAGGCTTAGACAATGTTACATAACGTTTCAAGTAGTATACATAGATATAAAACAACCATACATACAAACACACACATGTAGACTGTATGGTAATAAACTGTAACTCTTATTAAAATAAACTCAGTACGATGTCTGAAACAATGAATGCTTCAACATGAAAAAATTAGACACACTGCACACAGTAGTAAACTTAAGGATAGTCTTAGAGTTTTTTGGTGTAATAAAAATGTTTTAATCCTATTTGGAATAAGATAATAAAGATTTTATAAAATATAAAATGTTTTAATCCTATTTGGAATAAGATAATAGAGATTTTATAAAATATAAAATGTTTTAATCCTATTTGGAATAAGATAATAAAGATTTTATAAAATATAAAATGTTTTAATCCTATTTGG